AATACGTCATAAATACAATGGCGGGAAGAGCGTTCACTAACTATAATAGTCAAGCGCGGGAAAAGCGTTCAACAACTAATGAACATAATATTGAGTCGCAACAATTCCTAATGAACGCTCATACTCGACAGTTGCTAATTATTTCCAAAGGCTATAAAAATATCGCCGCAATATTATCATCGTCATTGTGACAGGCTAGGTATCTAACAGTAATAGCCTATATAGCAGTGACAACTGTTGACCACATAAATTATAACAAAAGCAATGTCTTGTGGCTATGGCTAAATTAACCTTTCCAATAGGGTGGGGTGAGAAGTTTATTTGTACTTACGGGGTGGGGGAGTGGGGTCCAACAATGTGTGGGTGCAAAGGAGAATCATTAGTATCAGAATTTGACATTTTGCGCACTGGTAGGTAGGGGAGAGTGAAGGGGAGGTGAAGGGGCACTCACCCCCGGGCGACAGCAAAATCTTCTTTGGATAGGACCTCAATAATAAATTAAATTATAAAATCCTATGCACTTCAAAATGACAAGGGGCGCCGAAATGTGTTTTTTTTTTTATATAAACTGGTCCGACCTGGACGACACTTAGTTTTCTATATTATGATGGGCGCCATTTTCAGGCTTCGCCCCGGCATTTTCCGGTAGGTAAAAAATGAATGGCCCCAAGCTCTGTTCGGTGCGCCATGGTCCATCTTTTCTACTACCGTGAAGGCTGCTGTCATGGATACAAAAAGTTCAGGCAGTTCTTGTTGGAATCGCACACACACACAAAAGATCCATCTAAAGAAGCGTACTATTACTACATAGAGCAGCAGCACGAAGTCTAAGGGAGAAATCGCTTCATAAAAAGTCCATTCCTCGCGATTCTCTCAGGTAAGAGTATTTTTTTTCCCTTTCCATTTGAACATACTTCTTTAAATAACAAGATCATTTGGTGCGCATAGTGAATAGCAGTAGTGGTGGGCGGTACAAGCTCCTCCTTTGTCAATGTGAAGTCAGGGGTCCCCCAGGGATCAGTCCTGGGCCCCTGTTTGTTCCTAGCATACATTAATGACCTACCGGAGAAACTGACATCACAGGCAAGACTGTTTGCAGATGACACAGCAGTGTATAGCACGATCGCCAACAGATCTGACCAGGACCAGCTACAACAGGATCTCAATCTGTTAGCTGAGTGGGAGATGAGCTGGGACATGGAATTTCATCCTGCCAAGTGCCAGACACTATCAATCTCTAGAAGTTGTACTCCTCTACACTACCAATACAAACTGCACGGCCATATTCTTGAGCAAGTTTCCTCCGTAAAGTACCTGGGTGTTACCATTCAAAGAGAGGTCCGCTGGGACGAGCATATTAACAATGTATGTAACCAAGCAAACCAAGCCTTGGGGTTCTTAAGGCGAAATCTAAAGATTGGCAACTCCTGTGTGAAAGAAAGAGCATATAAAGCCTTTATCCGTCCGATTTTAGATTATGCATCTTCAGTCTGGGACCCATTTACCCAGAAGAGCATTGACAGGTTGGAGGCGGTCCAGCGACGAGCAGCACGCTTTGTCCTAAACCGCTACAGGAATACCTCTAGTGTTGGCAGCATGCTAGAAACACTAGGCTGGTCACCATTGGAGAAACGACGACGACAATCCAGGCTCTCCATGATGTACAAGATAAATAATGGGCTGGTCCACTGTTCCAGTATTAAACAGAAACTCGTCCCTCTCCCCCATAGACAGCGACGAGGCCATGACAGGCAATTCAGGCTCATACCAGCAAGAAGCCAGTATAGGAGCTGCTCATTCCTGCCCAAGACAATCAGGGACTGGAACCATCTTTCAAAAGGAACAGTTGAGGCGACAACACTAGACACATTTGTGTCTATTGCCTCAAGCCTTCAAACCCCTAGTGCATAATTTCCTCATCACCACCAGTAACAGAAACATTGCAAATCCCATCTACATGCATAGGAGCCAAAATGATCAATAAATTGATCGTGGGCCCTTAAGATATAGAAGAAGAAGAATAGCATATGCATATTCGTACTCCTTATTCCTTAATTAAAATACAACTTCCATCTATTACAAACATAAAGAGTAATGAAATTTTTTTTTTAAAAAAGGAAACAAAATGTTATTTAATAAATTTGGTCTCTGCTGGCCGGGCACTAAATAATATCACAGTATTTTTACTGTTACATTCCAACATTGTAAATCAAGACAAGGGTGGGCTTATCAATTTTGGCGCCCCTTCAACATATAAATGTTCAGGTTGATATTTAATATCAATGCTTAAAAAGGTGTTGTATTTTATAAACAATAAGACATAATTATTATTTTGATTGCTTATAGGAGAACAAAAAACAACAAATCTCTTTGGAAAAAAAAAAGATTTTTATTGAAATGGCGCAACTCCAACAAAAAAAAAAGCAATTCCGACTTTCAGCATTCAGTTACCATACAATTTTTACTTTAAAACTAAATACTATTCTCCAAGTAAATTATCTGGCTTTTGCTGTAGCTAAAGAACTGTGATGACAACCCCATAATCTAGCTGACAGGCAACATTATTTTCAATACCATACATAGCATAGCTAAAGATGAGAGCCTTTCCAGAGTTTTATATGTTAATAAATATGTTTTCATCGATTTTAGTTTTTTAACCTAAGGCCGGCACCTGATCCCAGAGTCACTATGACAGGCAGTGTCGTTTTTACAATTAGCTTTCACTTATACAGACATAATGAATGTACAACAGTTGCATTACAACATAACAAGTAAAATAAATAAATAAGATATGAAAGTACATGAATATGTACATTGAACAGTTTAAAAAAAAAATATTAAACATTATATCACATATGCTTTAAGTGCACTTAAATGACTGATTGGCTGCAGACAAATGTAAACTGCCAGTCCTGGTTGTAAATTAAGCTTAAAATTACTGTCATCAGGTTTTATCATTTACTTAAATTAGTAAAAGAGTAATACAAAATTACTTCATCTTTAGAATTCTCATGCTCATGCGATATTCCAACTAGACACATCGGTCTACAATAGATCTACGGTAGGTCTATGATAGGTCTATGGTAGTTCTCTGATAGGTTAACAATAGGTCTATGATGGGTCTACATTACAGCAAAATAGTCAATCTTGCAAGCTGACAGTGATGAGAAGAAAAATTTTTATTACCTATAATTTCAACCTTTTTCAATACAAAATGATCATGATGATGTGTCCAGATTGGCACAATAACTATGGATGCTATTATTACCATCTTATGTGTACCATTGGCTCAAATTATCATAATTAAGTCACATAATGGTGTTTAAAACAATTAAATAAAGTTTAATACATAATACTAACAGCAGTGCTTGAGCTGCAAAACCAGTTTACAATTGTCCGGGAAGGAATTCAAAAAAAAAAATAACCTGCATCATTTTAAAAATCTGTAAATCAGAAACTTTGATATCTGCTCTTCCAAATGTTTGACAATATTACTTATGAGTATTAGCTATTCAAATATAGCAATAATAACAAAGGAAAACATTTTGAATATCCAGAACCCCAGAAATAATGGACTAGTTACCTAAGCCTAATGGACTAGTTACCTAAGCCTAATGGACCAGTTACCTAAGCCTAATGGACCAGTTACCTAAGCCTAATGGACCAGTTACCTAAGCCTAATGGACCAGTTACCTAAGCCTAATGGACCAGTTACCTAAGCCTAATGGACTAGTTACCTAAGCCTAATGGACCAGTTACCTAAGCCTAATGGACCAGTTACCTAAGCCTAATGGACCAGTTACCTAAGCCTAATGGACCAGTTAGCTAAGCCTAATGGACCAGTTACCTAAGCCTAATGGACTAGTTACCTAAGCCTAATGGACCAGTTACCTAAGCCTAATGGATGAGTTGGACAGCTTTATTTTCATTATTATTTTTTTAAACATATTTGATGACACATCTATATTTCTCAATCAGATGTTCATAATTTCAATAAAAAAAGGTTTACTATTTAAAGCGAGTTATTCAAATAATAAAAAAGACACAATATACACTCAATTGAACCTTTTCATTTTGAAATAAATTTTATCTTGGAATTGATATGAGTTTCAAAAAGAAAAAAATTTCCATTTGAACAACCTTATTACAGGTATTACATAGCAACATGTTTTGTTTTTTTTCAAAAGAAATCAGAAATGTTCAATATTAACAGTAAAATATAATTTGTGTATATTGAACATTAACAAGTTGGTAAATCTTTATTGACGAAAATTTTTTTTGAATATTGTATTTTTTTTAAAGTTGCAAAGAGAATTTATATGGACGGGATTTTTTGGTAAAAATTAATATCATTTTTCTGCTGTTGGCAGTCCTGATTCCTCCGTACCCCATACTGATCTTATTCATAACAAACACACACAAAGCTCAAAAACAAACATGCTGTTCAAGCAGTTTTTTCTAATGCATTTCTGTTTCTATAGCATAAACATGATACATTTCACAAAGTTAATGAGTAAAAAAAATTTCAATTTCAATACCGGTACCAAAGGAAAATTTAAATAAATGCTCAAACATAATGATTTATAGTGTAGAGAATGTTAAATTTTAAATACCTAAGGTCAATTACAAAATTATTGAAATGTTCTATCAGCTTTTTATGTTCACATTTTTTTTTAAAAAAGTTTTGAAATAATTTTGACGTCTGTCATTTACATAACTACTATGTTTTAAGGCTTTAAAAACTTTTATGCTTTGGTGAACAGCATATACATTTTAAAAATATTAATACATTTTTTGATGTCCTACAATGTATTAGAGATTAAATAATTGAGATAAACTTTAATGGTATTAGTTTAGAGTGAAAGGAAAAGATTGATATTTATTTTGCACAAATTGAGAGAGACACATGAGACCTTATTTACCATTTTTTTTAAAAATCCTTAAAGTAAATTTAAAATGCCTTAATTTGGTAAAATATTAAACTAATCAGCTAATGATTTTTGACCTGATCCTTAGCAATCAAAATACACGTTTGTCACATAAACTGTAAATAAACTATTGATTAGAAATAATAATTTTGAAAAAAACAAAACCCTCAACTGCCATTAAAATCAAACAACTAGCTGATGCATAATCATTCTTTTAAACTGTACATTAAATGAAGTAAAGATCTATTGTGTTAAGAGTTATTTAAAGCTTATAACTTAGAATATCAAAAAGTAAAAAAATATGGTAATGAGAGTTATTTAAAGCTTATAACTTAGAATAAAAGTTATTTAAAGCTTATAACTTAGAATTTCATAAAGTAAAAAAATATGGTACTTTAAAAAAACCATTAGCTTTAATATCAATATCATTAATTATAGTAAGTTGAATACTGTGGGAGCTGTTTGGATGATAAACATTAATATATTTGTATAATACAAATCAATATATTTTAAATAAATATTGATTTAAAAACAGTGATACACATTTTTTTTAATGCAGCACATGAAAGACAATACTTTCACTCTCAATCACTTAAAATAACAAACATTCTCTCCTAAATGCCTATTTCATAACGTATAAAAAAATAGCTCCTTAATTAAAATGAGTATCACACAGCTATACTTAGACTTAATTGTAAAACCAAATGAGTAGACAAGCTGCCAAGGATATTGATGAACTGATGATCCTGGACTCTGTAAAACCACCGTCATTTTTCACAGGAACCAATGGGCTGCAGACGAAAATTTTATTTATAATCCTTAAATTAAATGCAAAAATGTAAAAAGAATAATAATTTAACACTGCTAAACTCTGTCCAATAAACCTTGTTTACTACCTTACAAACTAAAATGAAAACAACTTGAATGGTGTAGCAGAATTTTAGTGATTATTTTACAGGTGCCTTAAAATAAAAATGCCCTTGGAATGCACATAAACAACATATAATAAAAAAATTACTTCATTTTACATTTTTACAGCGCTGTTTGAAAAATGAATTCTAACGTTACCTGACCTCAAAATATTAAAGGTGGCCGCAAGAAACTGGGCAAGATGTTGTAACAAGGTGTAACTTGTTAAATTTAAAATCAGTGAAATTTTACAATGAGTACAATGGTCCTACCTTGATTCGCAAGACTTATTTCTGTGGTAGCCATAAGGTTGCTTCGATCCTGAAGGACAGGCACTGATAAATAGAGTTGAGCTTTTAAAGTTTACAAGCAAATTACAAAGTTAAAAACTGAATATATTTACAATTTCTTAAGTACATTATTTAAAGAAAAGTGCATATATAAAACAATTAAAATAATATGTTGGCAAATCTCTCACCCAATAATTTCTTTTCAAAAGCCCAAATTTAATTATTAATGCTAAATTGAAATAAAGTAACAAAAAAAAAAGAGGAAATATTGTATGTTCAAAACATTTCCCTTTTCTCCCTTTCTATTATTAAATATTATTATTATTATAAGCTTACATGATTATTTATAAATATAATCATTACTTACAAGCAGATCAACTGTCCGGTGTTGAAATTTAATTCACCATTCCAGAACTCATTTTCACTACAAAGCTGAAATGAGAACCAGCATTTCTCGTACAAGCAGAAGTATTTGTCTCTTATCTCTATTTGAGCACTGCAACAATTTTCAGGGACTAATCCTTCTGTTGGGTGTGGGTCAGACTGAAAACTGACCAATGCGTAGCTGTTACTGTGAAAAATAATGACATTGATTTTACACAAGATTTCATAACTTACATCGTCATTTAAAATAAGTTATGTTTGATTTTATTATTCAAATTGTAGGACCAGTTCAAATTCAGATTTTTAAACATTTTTACTCAAAGTTAGAATACCAGAAGTTGTGAGTTTTCATGAGGTCCAACTTAATTTATTAAGTTCTTCATTTAATCCAATGTACTCTAGAAATATAAAGATTTATTAAGACTTTTTGCTATAACAATTTTTAATTAACATTTGAGATCGCATATCACTAAACTAAATGAAAAAAGGATTAAGTTCTTACAAGCGACACTTATAACTTTATTAACACTGTTTTAAGTAGGTCATTATATCATAAGTTACCCATTTTTAGAAATAGAGTACAAGTTATCTGAGAAGGTTTTTTTTTATTAAGAAGTAGCTTTAAAAAAAGTATACATAAAACACATGGATTAGGGGAAAGCCTGAAATTTCAGTAAAACAAAACAACTGACATTTCGAATGGGAAGCCTTCAACAAAAAAAACCCAAAAGATCAAGAGAATAGAAGAATGAACTTAACTGATAGCAATTATAAGAAACAGGAAATCATACTGAATTGAAGAAGGTCCCAAAAACCCAAAAATTTGGGTAAGAGGTTAACAGGAAAGGTTAAAATTACATTTAAAAATAAATAAATATTTAAAATAAAATACGAGGGAAATCAAAGCCTACTACAAAACAGTGAGGACTGCACATGTAAGCAGATGTGAAGCAGATATCTTGGAGAGAAAACAGAGGGTAAGATTAGCTTTTGCTTTACCCAAAAAATATTTGGATATTTAGGAAAATAGTAAAGCAGTCCTCCCCAATTTACACTTTAAGAAAGTAGTATGGTTATGTGCAGGAAAACATTTAAGTTTTAAGGTCCCAATAAATCATAAAACTTTGATGTACTGTAACTAACATGCTGGAAACATCATTATAATGATAGTAATTCTTATGTCTCATTTCATTTATTTTACCAAAAAAATTCAATTTTAGCAGGTTATAATATATTCAATTTTTAAATACTCACTTTGGAATACAATTCAATGCTTTTGTTCTAAAATTCATTTCATTTGAAGACACAAAGCCAGGTGGGCATGTTAAAAATGAAATCCAGCACTGTGGCTCACCATAAAAATTACAATGCATATAATCGTCTTGATGAAACTTTTCAACACAATGATTAGTTGACAACAGGCCACTAGAAATTGATTCACTCGCTTTAATAAATAGTCCTGTCACTAAGAATGAAATCAATAAGTTAAGCACACTTTGATAAGAAAATTGTTCTTGCAACATGATGAGAATAAATGATTTATTTATGTATATATTTCAGTCCAAAATCTGAAAAAGGGAAAGACATTATCATTAATAAGATAAATTTTATTTACTGAACTTGAGAAACACTATCACACTGATATCTAAAATAAAGATTTCACACAATATATGTGTGACAACCAATGCCTATTAAATCTCAACATTTTTATAAAAAATGGAAATGTAACACTAATAAATAAGGTGCCCATTATGCAAACACCCCATTTATACTCATAACCAGTTAGATAAGAAAAATAAGGTAAAATGTCCTTTTAAAAATAAGTCGTCATCTTAGCAGCTGAAGTCATAAAACTAAAACTGTACAAGTGGTTAATCACTTTCTATTTATTTTAATTGGTTAGAAACAAGAGAGTAAAGGATTAACAAAACTGAAGCATATATCCAAAAAAAAACTGTCATAAATACATTGAAAAAAATGTATTACTTAAATAGCAAGACTCAACATCCAAAAGACCACAAAAGATTATTTTTAAAAACAGAATGTGACACACCCTGCTGAACACACCTGAACACACCTGAACACAAGAATGTTATATTTAGGTCAGGCTTGACCTTGCCCCGCTAAGTCACCCTTATGTAGTACTTTCACCTACTTTTTTTATTACAATATTATATTAATTTTTAAAAAAGATCTCACATGTTATTGTGTCTTATAGAAGCTTCTATCTCAGACAGCTTTACACCAGAATTGCTGAACTAAATAACACTTAATGCATTCACAGACAAAAACTATATTCCCTATCAAATATTCTACGTATCGCATTCACAGATAAAAATGATAGTCCCCATAAAATATTCTACGTATCAGTATTGTAAACAGACTCCTTGCCAGTCATTCACTTTTTCAAACTAATCTTTATTGCTTGGTAACTGTAAATAAAAGTAACTTATCTTATAGTCCCATTATTTGTTATATCCACAAATAATAATAATAATAATAATAAAGTTCATTTTAAAAAAAACACGCTTCATCCCCAAAGGCTCGAAGCGCGGTACAAAGTCAACAAAAAACAATCTATAATTCACCACATTTAAAACAAACACAACACTACAAAAACTAATTACAAGCATACAATATCAAAGTCTTTCTGGCCATTTCAACACTAAGCAACACAGCAACACATGGAAAATAAGGTAGACAATCATCCCAGAAGGTATTTGCGAAATAGATGTGTCTTTAGATCTGTTTTAAAGGACTCCAGTGTCTGGTTGTTTCTAAGATCGACAGGAAGGGCGTTCCAAATTGTTGGACCAGCAAATGCGAAAGTGCGCTTTCCATAAGTCTCAAGGCAAACACGTGGTGTCGAGAGTTTGCCACTATCGGATGAGCGGAGCTCTCTACTGGGTACATAAGGCGTCAGCAGCTCTTTCAGGTAGGACGGCGCCAGGTCATGTAAGCAGCGGTAGCACAAAGTTGCGATTTTGTACTCTATGCGAGCACGCACCGGCAGCCAATGCAACTCTCTCAGAAGTGTTTTTGCATGGTCGAATTTGCGTTTGCGGAGAACTATGCGAGCCGCATTATTCTGTGCTATTTGAATTTTATCCAGGAGCGTAGCTGGAAGACCCACCATGAGAGCATTGCAATAGTCCATGCGTGATAGCACAAATGCAGACATCAGCCTCTTTGTTGTATCAATTGTTAGGAAGGGCCTGATTTGACTAATCCTGCGCAGCTCCAGAAAAATCGCCCTGCATAGCATGTTAATATGACTTTCAAAAGTTAGTCTTCTATCTAGGTAGACACCCAGGTACCGCATTGTTTGAGCTAACTCAATACGCACACCTGAGAGAGTAATGGATGTCGTGTTATTTGCAGATTTCTGCTTCTGAGCGGTCGCAATGGGGAGCAGCTCAGTCTTATCGTCATTTAATTTGAGCTTGTTAATGGTCATCCAGTGCTTTACCGACTCCATTGTCTTCTGTGTCATACTGAGCAGCTGAGGGAACTGAGAAGTGATCACGGATTGATGAAGTTGTGTATCGTCCGCGAACATGTGATACAACATGTCAAACTGCCTGATCTCTGCACCCAGGGGCTGAATGTACATCGTGAAAAGCATCGGGCCTAGGACCGAGCCCTGGGGTACTCCAAATTCGAGATTAGATTTCTTCGAGGTCAAGCCGTTTGAAATAACTGACTGGACCCGATTAGTCAGATACGATCGGAACCAACACAGGACGGTATCAGTGAGACCGAACGTTTGTTGCAGACGCTGGAGCAGTATGCCGTGGTCGAGCGTATCGAAAGCTGCCGATAAATCGAGTAAAGACAAAATCGATACCCGGCCCTCATCACAAGACGACAGAAGGTCGTTTACGACGCGCAACAGGGCTGTCTCAGTAGAGTG